ACTAGTTCCTTACCACAGGTTGTAATGAAGCACATTGATTTTGCCTTGCAAGTAATGACTCATGTGCTATCTACAGTAAACTAAGAAGAGAGGGGTGGCACAACAACTACAAATACAGAACAAATGTGCGTTTTTTGTAATTTCTATCTTCCTGTAACTATCCTCTTCTGCTCTCCTTCAAGAAAAAAAAAAAAACATAAGTAGCAGTTTTGCCTGAACAAGGAATGCTATAAATAAGTGCTATAAACAAGTGTTATAAAGAAGGAGTGTTATAAAGAGCTGAGAATCCACAATTCTGCAAAACAGACTTGCAGACATCTATAGCATTACAAAGGAAATGGATTATTTCTAGACTGCAAGTTGTACAGAGGTGGGACCATGTCTGTAAGATAGTTCCTAGCACAGTAGTGTTGCTAGTACAATATTAATAAAACATTATAAACATAGCCTAAAGAATGGGACCTTTTGCTTAAACTGAAAAAAGCCCACTGAACAAGTGTATGACACCATCAGAAACACTCACTTCAATTTGTTATAACTCAGTATTGACATTTTTCTCCATTATCCATCACATCCATGAGATTTTAATATAATTATTTCAGAACATTGCTCAGCTCTTGTCTGCTCTTGGAAATATACCAAAATACCTACAATTATTCCAAGATGGTTTATTTCAATATAAATCCCAAAGCGGACACTCTTATTCCAAAATAAGAGTTCCTATTTCCAATTTAATTTAATCTAGTTCTAAAGTATGCTCCTGGGAGCTTATTCTGGAATAGCTATTTTGGTATATTTTGAAATGTAGGCAAACCCAAAGTCAGGGATTGGAGACTGGAGTTTGTTAAGAGAAAACTCTGCTTCCACTTGAAAAAAGATATAAAGCAAACAGGCTTAAGAAATTCATCCCTTTCTAAAATATAAGATTTACACAAAAAGGGTAGAGATCCTATTTCAAGAATAGCAGTTTTGCTACCTCTGCACGTGTAGATACCAATTAATGTTTCACATCACAAATCCTCATCAAATGAGCCACTCACAAACCTCCTCCACCCCTTTTTTTTCACTGAAACATCTACTGTCAAAGCAAAAGAGCACAAAATAAGACAGAAACTAAATCAAGAAAATAATCTATCTCAGGCAGCCTCCTGATGCTGAGAAAGGGAAAATGTAAAAATCTCCACCAGTTCAGCCAAACGTTTTCCATCAGCTGTTAATTTTACACAAAAGGTGTTTTTATGCTGACCTTCTAGGCAGTGTACAAAACCTGCAACAGGCAAGCTTTAAAAGAAGTAGAATGAAGCTATGAACCTATGTGGGGAAAAAAAAGGATATTTGTTGCTTTTGAAAGTCAACTATACCTTTTACTACACCAAAGTCTAAACTTTCTACAGTTTCTAGAATACAAATGGGAACTTGGAGAAGATCTCAGTTTTATCACAAACAAACTTAGAGTTGTAGAATCATAGAACATTTTGGGCTGGAAGGGACCTTAAAGATCATCTTGTATCTATGACTTAACAACTTCCTTGCTGGACACAGGATGGCAATCAGTGATGGTGAAACAGCACACTGGGAGTGTTTAATGTCAGACTGGTTCAAGTCATTAAAACACGAGCAAACATGGGGACCTAGTTTGACTCAGCAACTTCCTCTGTATCTCTTGGCTTCACCAACCACTCGATAGTATTTCCAAGGGTGAAACAAATTCTGTTGTCAACAGATATTGACAGATGGTCATTACCCAGACCCTCTGCCCACCAGTGTTATGGGCACAAACAAAAAACAAAAACACAAACAAACAAACAAACAAAATTCACAAGAGCTTCATAATTCACTAAATGTAAACCTTTGATCCAACCAAGTTGTATCTATTACATCTGTCCAACAAGTGTTACCAAGACATGGTCTATCCTTTATGGATTTTGAAGACCAGCAACAACAATACACCTTTTTTTCTCGTTTTCCACTCAGCCTAGCAAGATAATTCAAGGCTTTCTTATTTGCTTTAGAGCCCTTTTTGCAGCCTGACCATGCACAAAACAGTCACAGCAGCATTAACCAACACTGCCACCAGCATTCCAGAGTCAGAACATGTCAGATCTATCATGTATCCCACAGTCACCTCTGAAATCTGCCCCAGGTACCACTGACATGTGAATCCCCTGTTCTCGTGACTGTGCACTGCCCAAAGCCCATGCTAACCCAGTGGCTCTGGGGGCTCCCAGGGCCCACAAAGGTAGCAGTCACATCCTGGTGAGACAGTCATCTCAGCAACCCATCTTCACCCTGAACCATGCATCACGGGCAGCCAAGACTTCAGAGTCAGGGAAGGAGTCTCCTGCTTTAAATGAAGTTCACTTGGCAAGCCAAATATGTGGAAAGGAAGGGAATACAAAGAGTAGCTTCAGGTCCCTTTCCTGTCCCCATAAATACATCAATGGCACCTGCAGCAGCAATGATTCAGGTCCACAAAACTAACATGCCATGGTTTTGGTTCTCCCTCTTTCATAGGCAAGATTTCTCCCTTCTTCCTCCAGATGCAGAGGAAGAGCCAGGGTCATCCCATCACCCATGATGCTGAGCTGCATTTCAGTGTCAGAAGAGAAACCTCATCATGTCCTCAGGTCTGTTTGAGACAGAAACCATAGAGTGAGAAATGGCAATAAAGGTGTAGGTTGCCCCACAAGTCCCAGGTAACCTCCTGTGATCAATCCCTTCCTTGGGATGTCACCAGCCCTCCTTGTGTCTCTGTAGCATCACCACCTTGCCAAAGCTGTGTGGGGTACCAAGAGCCACAAAGTGAGCAAATATCCCCATCTAGTGTCCCTGAGAGCTACGGAGCATATTCTGCTATTTTCCATCTCTTCTATCCCTTTCTGGTCATCCTGAGTTTTAGTAAGAAGGAAGTTGGTGGATTTTTCTTCTCCCCAAAGACAGAGTAAAAATTACCACTGCCCCTGAGACAGGCATTGTGCAGGCTCTGGGCATGCAAACAGCTCAGCCAGCATGCTGCTAATTACATTTCTGGTCTGAGCTTTCTCTTGAGCAACAGCTGCTTATTATTTCATCTCACACTCTCGATCTCTGTGAGGTTTCTTTCTTGGCTCCATTCTGCTAATCTGACCACAAGGAATTGACAAATTAGTCATAGAGGATAAATCAAAGGGGTTTTCGTGTGGCTCTTGCCCCCTGTTTTGCATACAGTGCTTCCAGCTCACGACTGTCTCCTCAGTTCTTCTAGAAAAGCTGCTTGGCTACAGAGGCGTGTTATTTGAGGGTGAAATGCATTAGCCTCTGTTTGCTCCAAATTTAATTCATCTATTTAAATAATTTAATACAGCATCCATCAGTATGAAAGCTGGGCAAATTGAATCCAAAGGATTTGAAGACACATAGATTAAATAAACTACCTTCAAATCCTGGCTCTCAAATTATCACTGTCCCTGGATTAATTCTACCTTAATTAGACAAAATAATCTTCTCAAAGTGATTAAATTTGTGAAATAAAGATGAAATAAACATAAAGCAAAAGCAAATGGAATATAAACAGCCAGAAAGCATAAGCCATAATACAGAGCCTTAAATCATACACTGAAACTCATTCAGTTCAGGTTCTCATTAGAGCTCTGTAAAATCGTGAGTGGTATGAAGGAGATGAATATGGAATTTTGTTTCTCAAAATACCAGAACTAGGGGAGGGTATCACATGAAATCATCAGCCAGGGCTTTAAAGCAAACAAAAGCGAGGACTTTCTGACAGAGCAAGTCATTAAATTGCTAAACTCATCGCCAAAAATGCTGCAGATGCTGAAAGCATAAGTAGAATTTGACAAATCAACAGAAGATAAGGCCACAAAGAGTTATTAAAGACAAAGATCAGAAAATCTTTAAGCCTTAAACTGCTGAGGGGTGGGAGAACACATTGGGAAAATATCACACAATACTTTCCCTGCTGTTACACCCTTTCCTTAATTATCAGCCACTGTCAGAAACAGGATACTGAGCTCCATGGGCCTTTGGTTGAGCATAATGGGGCTATTCTTATAATCTGACAAGTCAAGAACTGGATTTACTTTAAAATGTTGACACTGGCTTCAGAGTCTCACACCAGAAGGTGACTAAAGAGCATCCAAGTTAAACTCAGCTGATGAAGTTTAGGATAACAATTAGCCTCTCAAGCTTATCTAACTTTTAAAAGTTGTCCATGTTGCAACTCCAGTCGATTGTCAAATCCATTAAGCATCACTATTATAAATGCTAAGGCAGACATTTTCCTGCAGCAATGGCTCATGATGACAGCTAGTCAGCATGTTACAGCAGAAAACACAAGACTACAGAAGGTCCCAGACAAGTGGCTTGATTAGCAGCAAAGACTTTAAGGACAAAAAAAAAAAGGTTTACAATATCTGTCCCCTGCACGTAGCTAGAAACCACAGTCAACACTGCTTTGAAGTTTCTGGAGAGTCCTTTGGAAGAAAGCATAGAAGAGCATGTGGTCCCTGCCCCATCTGGATTGTAGTGAAAAGCAACACTTGGAGATCAGGATCAAAAAGATGCTTGTGGAAGCCAGCCCTCAGAAATGAGAAGCAGAGCAGGTCACAACTTCAGATGACAGTGTAGACCTGGTGCTAAATTCAAGGAGAGGTAACGAAACAATCCAGTTTTATACTCTTGCAGTAAGTGGTGCAGGCCCATACCCCATCATGTAACAGGGAGCACCACCTGGCAGACTTTTCTTCTTCAACCACAATGCCAAAATTTCTGAACTGGAATTTATCAAGACAGCTCAGTTTTAAGCTACCTACTCTAGACAACACTAGCAGTAGAGTCACCAGGTTTCTGAGAGCAATGCAGCAGTTGATATTCAATATTGCCATACCCCAGTTCTACTGCCAGAGCTGGATCATCACATCACAACTGTATTTTTCAGAAAGCCAACACTTCATTTTTATCTGCTAGAAAAAAATTGCATGTAATAGGAAAGAAACCCACCAGACCTGATTCAACCTGTAGACCTGATTCAGCCTTTACTGTCTTCAACAGAAAGACCCTTGATTGTGCCCCTGGGAGTGGAGTGCCGCCTTCAGAGTTGTCTGGAAACAAAACATAACAAGACCATTCAAATATTAAAGTTTCCCCCAGAAGCCAGGTGAGGACAGCCACAGACCTCCCCAAAGTTCATGGAGAAACAGCAATTACCAGGAGCAGCAAAGTGAGTTCTCTGCCTTTTTCACCCACATCAAAAGCCCTCAAAGCCAGACAGGTGGGTGCTCCCGAAGGTGGCACTGCGGCGTGCAGGCAGATGTGTAGCATGGGGTGCCTCACCACTGACACATTTAACAGTGGCATCAAAACAAGGTCTTTTTCCCAGCTTTCTCCTGTTCTTCCTCCCTCAGTCCCCTATGCAAAGTCTGCCTTCATCTGCTGTCATCATCTTGCCATAGAAGGAACAGCCAAAAACCGTAGCCCAGAGTCAGAAAAATGTAATGCCCACCCTGCTGACTGTCCTGAGCCAACTCTTACTTTACATCTTCCTTTGGGTAACAGTTCTCAGCAATACACATTTCCTCCACCAGACTCGTAGTGGTACTGACCTCTACAGCCTTCAAAATCAAGGCTTCCCTTCATCAGTCACCATTCTGACCCATATTCATACAGACTTAAAATGACAAACCCTGGAATCCTGCCAGCTCAAATAATGTAGATCCAAATGACTTTAAATCTCTCTATTTTTTCCTCTCTGCATTTTCCATACACAGTGTTAAGTCCCACAGCAAAAAACTCTGTTTCCCTGTGTTATTCAGTAATTTGCAATGCCACCCACCAAATGGCACAGTAGAAATAGCTAATCACATAGGCTTGGGATATGTATAAGCTGTGTTGTAAAAGTACTAATAGATATATTTGAATGCAAAAGAGATCTGAGAGTTGGAAAATAATACCTTATTAGTATGCTACATGTGTGTGCAAAGCAGCAGCCTGTTCTCTAAAAGATGTGTAGAAAAAATAGTGGAATCAAAGCCTTCAGCCTCTCCTATAAGAACACAATAAAATCAGTAATCTTTATCACTTTTCTCATTAGAATTATGAATTCCATTTGTTCCCATATCGCATAATTTTGTACCTTTGCAAAAATATTACACCCAGTAAATCTGCAATTCTGTGTGTTCACAACCACTCATATCCATCTCTGGGTCCAGCCTCAGGTATCAGCATCCCCTGTTTCCACACACTTGCAGTTTCCCCAGCATTTGGATAAATGGGTTGAACCTGAATCAGCATAGGAAACAAGTCCTCTAAATGAGCTGTTAGTTCATCTTCTGAATATGGGCTGAAATAACACAGCATAGAAACATCTTCAGCTTGGTTACCTTTATTTCCCAGAACAGACATTTTCCTCAAATAGACATAATTTACATGAATTGGTGTTTCTATCTTCAACACACTTCTGGTTTGCATGTTGTTTTCTTCCATTCCCTTTGCTCACTGTATGAGCAACAGCCTTCATAGAACATGTCCAATTGCATCTATGACTGAGCACTCATTTTAATGGGTTAGGGAGAGAGGTTCTCCATAGAGGTAAGGAAGAATAAGAACAGTGAAGTACAGAGATTATGCTTAGGAAGGATCATAAGTAAAAAAATATTAGACAAAACAAGTATACACAAGCAATTAATCCAAGTTGCATTATGACTGCTTAATGTGCTCTTATTAGTCAACTCAGTAATTCCATCACATCCATCACCGTTACATCTCAGCTACAGAATATGGAAATGATATTGCAAGATACAATTTAAAAAAAGAAATGGGATCGTTTCTTTTTAAATTTTGGAGCATGAGGGGGAGAATAAATACTAGTCTATTTGAACTTACTGAGAGTGTTTTCATTGGCATAGGATTTCAACCTGTTCTCTTTTTAGACTGGATTTCAACATTAAAAATGGATAAATGGGTTGTGCCACCCACTGTCACAGCACACTCTGGGGACCAGGGGCATGACTGAATTTAAAAAAAGCATTAGGCAGGCACTGCCTCTAGACATTTTCCACCCCCATTCAATTCTCTAACGTACAAACTGGAACAGTGAAGCATGTCAGTAGAGACTGTGTTTCCACAAGCAAGGGGCTACTCTTGTAATAACTCTTCTTGGTTAGTCTGGTCTCAAATAGAAAACTCAGATGAGATGTTGCTCCCATGGGCTTCTGCAACCTTGTTGTACTTTGCTTTGTATTAAGTTAGGCAAAACAAAACAAAGCAGATCCCTTGGGCATATTCCACTCTCCTGGACTGTTCTTCATCTGATCTCTCAGTGTCTTTAACAACATGAATCAGGCTAAGCAATCTCTGCCAACCAGGGAAACTGGAAGGTGCCATCCTGAGTGTGACACACACCACGCAGCTCCAGTGCCTGCAGGAGTGCACGAACCGAGTGCCACCTCAGCCACTTCGAGCACGGAGGGCAAACACATCGGGCAAACTGGCTTTGCAAGCCCCAGCTGCCAACCTAATCTTGCCTTGAACAGCATGAAGTTTGTATCCATGTTGTATCCAGCACACTGGCTGACTCAGGGATACTAAAAAGATAACAAAAAACAGAAAGGAAAAACTTCTGTAACAAACATTTTCACTTCTGCAATCACAAAAGCTGTAAAGAATCCAGAAGTCTGGAGAGTGAAGCTTCCAGTTCGTTCTGAGCACTAGAACAGGCTGCCCTGAGAGGTTGTGGAGTCTTCTTCTCCGGAGATAACTCAAGAGTCATCTAGACACAATCCTGCGTGATGTGCTTTAGGGGATCCTGCTTGAGTAGGAAGGTTGGACAAGATGACCTCCAGTGCTCCCTTCCAGCCTTATCCATTCTGTGTGATCCTGTTATTCAGCATTTTCTGGGAATGAGGTGGTGCTCCAGCAGAGCATACAGGACACTTTTTATGAAAGTCAGTGACACACTAGATGGACAATATGAAGCACATGCATCTACTTAGTTCTGAAGGAATCAAAACATCCATTCCCTTATCTATATCCTTTCTGTAAGGATGAATCATGCCTATAGCAATTTCGTTTTCATTAGTTAACACTGATCCTGGTTTAAAAAAAAAAAAAAGAAAAAAGAAAAAACACAAATTAATTTTTAAAATTATGGTTCAATAAAACACTGCTCTTCTGCAGAACATTTAAATCTTGCTTAATCATGTGCAAATGTCTAAGATCAACATTTATATAATGCTTGGGCCATCGCTTTTTTAATTATTCACATAATTAAATTCCTTCTATCTTTCATCTTTTATTCTTTCTATCCTGGATCCTCTATATCAACTTTGGAGAGTACTACACAAAGTACAAGTGTATGTTCATTCAAAAGATACTCACATAAAACCTGTAGTGCAAAACAAAAACTTCTTAAAATGGTTCACGTGCACATTAGTTTTCAAAGTTGAATTGCATAAAACCTCAATAGAAATGTAAAAAAATGGACTTGCTTTCCATTTTTGCACTAGTTCAGCTTCCAGGAAGATGCAGTATTTTCTCCGTATTTTTCAAATGAATCTTTATTAAGAACATTTTTATTTTGCTGTCACTGTGTTTTGGTTAGTACCTGTTCACAGAAGTTTCAGGTTTGGTTTTGTGACTTTTAATGTTAAGCTAGAAATTGTAGGGTTCCATCTGACACAGATATCATGGAAATTATTTGACACTTTGGGGTTTTTCTTCTGTCCCTGGGTTCTATCTCTGTCCCTGTACGGGCAGCTTCACCACAGGGTTTAGGATCTCCTAAAAAAAAAAGTCTCTCAAATAAGTGAAAACTATTGCTGCTGGGAGCTCAGTGGGTAACAGACACATCAGGGGCTGCTGAACACTCAGTTCATGCATTGGGCATAACTGGAATTGGAAATAATGAGATGATTATTTCAGTTCTGAACTGTGCCTGTTCCTTTAATCCTCTCTGTAGCAACTGTATTTGCTGCTTAGCGATATCGGGTTTAATATACAGTTCCTAATTAGTGTTATCAAGCACCACTCACTCAATTTCATTACACAGAACTGGATGAAACGTTAGGTCAAGTGTAACCCCCAGGTGAGCTTATATTACAGTTTGCCTCCTGGTTTCTATATGAGCTCTGTGTGTTCCACCTCAAGAAATGGCAGATCCTTTGTAAGCACTGAGATTGTTCAGCTGGGTCCCCAGGGCACCCCAAAACACAGCAGACATCACACAAAAACTGTCACTGCCCTGACTTGAGGAGGTATTTAGCTATAGCAGTGCAGCTGATAAAAGTAAGTAGACAGCTTAACAGCTGATAAATGCCACCTGGGTTAGCTGAAAAAGCATAAATCGTCCTTCACTTGGTGTTTTTCCCATTCTTTCCATCCTCTTTCCAGACAAAGACTTTGAAATAAAGTTACGTAAGAAAAAACTGGTAGTTCACATCCATGACAAATTATAAGCATGAGATATGTGACAACTCTACGTATTTACAAGGCTTGGAGGAGGCATTTGGATCACCAGGAGCCTCAGCCACATAGTTTTTAATATGCATTTCTCACTCTCGGGCTATGGCAAAAAGTGTTTTACTGCTGGCTGAGCACCAATGGATTTGGAGCTGTTAACTGCAGTCCACAGGCAGCCTGAAGTGGTGAGCTAATGTGCATTTCATTTTGCTAATTTAGTTTTTAGAAAAACCAGGTTTAGTTATAACACTGTAGTGTCAGCATCAGCAACTGGGAGTTGAATACAGTGGGAGAAAAGGGTAGAAGTGGTCAGTGAAACCCACTGAGAAGGGGAAATTTAAAGAGAAGTAGATGGAAAAGAGAAGAGAAACAAGTAGTGAAAAGCAATAGAAAAAAAAGTCAGAGAAACAACAGCAGTAAAAGGTAGAAGCAGAATAAACCCCAAAAGGGAAGGCCTTGAACAAATATCCATGTCTGGTTGCTGAGTAAAGACTGGGTGCTGTAGGGAAACACTCTGAAAACATTAATATCAGGAAATTGAGAGAGGCCAGCATTCCTAATTTAGATATCAGCCCTCAGATTAGGATTTGAGTACTGGATCGTCTCCTGGAAGAAGAGCAATCCTGAAACCATTCAGTTAGTCCTG